TATAAAATGCGAAATTCGATAAAATCCAATGGCATAGTGCCTTCAACCTTTAATTTTATAAATAAACTTAAAAAAAGCTTGACTTAACTCTTTTAACTAATTGATTATAACATTCGAAATTAACAAATTAATTGGAAGCCATTTAGTTTGCTGCTTGCAGTAGGGAATAGTACAGCTAAAGTTAAAGTAATATATATCTTTTTATTTTTTTATTTTTTTTAAAGATTGCATATAAAACACCATACCTTAAACGTAGCCTGCTTAAGCTGCAACCTGTCGAGCTTCGCTTGAATACTTGCTTTGCTCATCTCTACTGCGAAATCCAGCAAAAGCACCTGATGGGCAACGTGTCTTCCGGCCTCAAAACCGTTAACCGCCAATGCTCTTTCCCAAAGGGTGATGCTTTGCTCCTGCTCCTCTCTTTCAGCCATTCTTGTTTCTCGCTCCCTTGGGCGAGCGAGTGGCACAGCTCTGCAATCCGAGCAGATGGCGACTTGGCAGGTCTGGCAGTAGGCTGAGGCAATCGCGATTTCTTGATGAACTACTTCTGGCGCCTTGTGATCAGAGTCAGCTACCATTTTCGAGGCGTGATCCGCACAGATGAAAGGTGGAACGAAGCGAAGCTGTTTCATATTTTCTGGCTGTCTTAACTCCTGATATAAAAAACAAAATAGCCTTCTCAAACGAAATGAAGGGTATGCCAGTATCAATCTATTAAAAAACTCTTCGAAACCTAGCTTATCTCCATAAAATCGCCTAATATTTACATTAGTCTAACCAGTCTTAATAGTAAATATTCCATTTCATCATACTAAAGCGAATAAAATATTTGAAGATTTGACAAATACTTTAAAACTCGTTTCAATTAAAATATATCAGATATCCAGAATGCAAAAGCGCCAATCTCAGCTAACGAGTTTCAATGATTCGTAAGATTGGCGTAGCAGCAAAAAAAGTGTGCCTGTGATATTATGCTATAAAACTTAGTACTTTCTCACTAGAAGGGAAGAGGATTTCTTTCATGATTGCAACAACAATTAGAACATACAAATGAAGAAGAATCTGATATCGCCTTCTTGCGAAATAGACCCGCAAGCCGATTATTGATGAGTTTTTCCCTGAGATGGAAGTTATTTCAACAAGTTAAATTCAAATAGGAGATTTAAAATCAAGTAGAACTTATTAGAAATACGAAGATAACTTTTCAATGGGTATCACATAGCGACCATAGAAACGGACAAACTGAAGTGTTGAACAAAAGTATGTAGGCAAAGGGGGTGTAATGAGATGTAACCCTACTTTAATACGAATATAAAGGGGGTGTAGCCTTTAGTATGGTCGCGGTCTCCGTTCGTCGTATAGAAGTTGCTTAAATTTGTTTTCGCAACTTGCTCATATTGGTAGGAAAACCTAGAGGAACGCAGTTTGTCCGTAGTTCATAGTATGCAGGATAATTTCCAGACTTGGATTGTGCACTCGGTACATTAACATACGCTTTGCCGGCATTGTAGTCAGCATAGTCTTTGCCAGTCTTAGCACCACACTACAATTCATCAAAGAGGCAAGTTTGGATTGCATAGAGCGAACAGCAAAAGTGGTTAAGGCCTTGGTGTCTGAAAGTACCTAAGTTGGCTTACTTAATTTCAATAAGTTGTTTTCATCCAGAAATGGGGGTGGAGTTCTTTATTTAAATGATACGCACGTTTATTGAAGATTATCCAGATCAAACGAATGTAGAAGGATATAATAAGACTTGAACATAATGGTATAGTTTGAAATGACAATACTTAAAATAGGCACGATAAAGGAGAGGACTTTTTTGAGATTAAACGGGAAAAATGCTTAAAGCAGAGATTAAATTACTAAGTTCTAAAATGGCAGAACCTGAAATGATATGAACTTTAACTTGTCTATTTGACGAGTTGTTGTATGGTGTCAAGAATGGTGATACTCACTGACGATGCCGCCGACT